TGTGCTCTTCCGATCTCCCCAAAACCCCAAAACCCCAAAACCCCATTTATGAATAATTCGCATAAAACAAGTATAAGGAAATTTAATAAAGAGCTTTTGTTTAATTAATTGTTTATTTTCAGATTGAGACTTTATTATCATAATATAAAATAATGAAGCTGTACTTATTATAAAAGTATAGAAGTATAAATTGCTTGCTTTTCATTATATTCCTAACATAAGTGACATATACTCTTTAACTTTGTTCAAATGGTAAACTAGACCCTGATGAGCAATGTGATGATGGAAACTTAGCTATTGGTGATGGGTAAGATAAATGTCTAACTTGCTTTAGATGCAACCAAAATTGTATGATTGAGAGTGGATTTGGATGCATGCATAAGAATGAAAAATCACTAAGTATTTGCTCAAAGGAATGCAACTAGAAATAGGACTGTAATAATCAAACAATAATTGAGGGGTAAAATTAGTTCAGTTAATATTTATAGCTGCACTAGTTAATGCCAAGTTTAAGATTTATATTCTTGCAAAAAATTTGAGAGCAATAGTTCTCATTGTTGGAAAAATGCTCAATTTACTTTAGAAAATGAAACTAATTGGAATAATAAAGCTGAAAATCATTAAAACATAATTCAAAATAACTTCAATCCATCTTAGCATTAGTAACAGACAATAACTAGAGATCTACAAGTTGTTGATTTGACAATGTGTCAAGCATTAGTTGCTAAATTTACTACTACTGCTACCTAGTATGATACTTTCAGCAATTTAGCTGCTGAGTCAATGACTTGCTCTGCTATGAATGCTTGTTAGAACGGAAGAGCTGGAATTTGTAAATGGGATAGAAAATTTTCAATGACCTGCTTTGCTAAGGGTGAATTTCCAGCTATTCGTATATAAACAAACTCATATCCTAATCATTGCTTCTAGAATTAAATATAATTCCCTCTTGAAAACTAGATAGATTTTGAAGTTATCTTCAACTTATCACCTAGCTTGTTCCTTACATTGAATTTAAATTCACAGGTTATTACAAATGGTGTGCTATGTGACTTAAGTTTCATTGGTGATCTAGTCTATAATACAAATTACTAATTTGTGTTGCATTCTGGTAATATACAAGCCATTGTTGGAATAGCTTTGAATGGAGTCCCTATTCACTCTGGTACCTCAGAATTTGGTGTTGATGCATTCTTTCCTGTTGCATACAGGGGAAGAAATAAGCCTAATGAAATTGATTTTGATCAATGCTTGGGAAATGGAGAACTGTCCAATGGTTATCATTACTATTCATTATCACCGTGCATGATAAAAGCTTATTCAAGAAAGTAGACTAGTCCTAAGGAATGCTTAGATATTCCTGCATGTTAATCTGACAAACTCAAATTCATGAGAACAGAAATTACCTAAGCTACTGGATTCGCTCCAATTGGCATTGCTTTAGATGGGCATGTAATATTCGGTCCATATAATGCTACTGGAAATCTTTGGTAGCCTTGTGATGTTGATGCTTGTAATGGAATTACTGTTGATAACAATTATATTTATGTCTCAACAATGTTCCATCCCTACACAGTGGGTTGCTGGGGTCCAGCAAACCCTAAACACTTTAAATAAGCTTGCACTTCTTAGTCTAAAATATGCACTTTTGGTAAATACTTAGAATCTTCTATATATTTAATGGCAGCGTTAGTAGTTTTGAACTTTGGTATTGCACTTAACTTATGATTGCTAAGGTTTTATTTAAATTATATCAATTTATTTATGCAATCTAATGTACTTTGATGCTAGATCATGGGGTTTTGGGGTTTTGGGGTTTTGGGG